AAACCAATCAGCGAGCATATTTTCTTCGGGCTGTTTTCAAAATATATACATTTGTTCAGAATATTTCAGTTTTTAAAGGAATCAGACCTATGTCGTCGTGTAGAAGAACGAGCTGGCTGATGTCCCATCCACAGAGATGTTCACGACGAGCAAGACTCAAAGAATTCCTGTAAGAAAGATATAAACACATTCTTAGGCCCTGTCCACAATACGCCGGAGAAATTTGAAAACGCAACTTTATTTCTACGGTTAGGCCTGCCCTCCACATTGATCCGCCACGAAAACGGAGCTTTTCCAAAACGCTCTTCAAACCGGAAGAATTTGAAAACGCCAGCTTTGCGTTTTAGTGTGGACGGAAAACATTTTGAAAACGGAGCTTTTCGAAAATGATGACGTCACGATAATCATGTGATTTCCCTGACCGAAAACAAATCCAAAATATATGGGTTATTGACCAAGTCTAAGGTCAAGATGGCTGGATATTGGCCAAGTTCTTTTTTTGCGAGTTTATGGACCGAGACGGAGTCGAGGTCCATAAACTCGCAAAAAAAGAACGAGGCNGCTCCATCTTGCCCGCTCGGGTAGCCAATCACAGCGCAGGATTTGATTCATCTTGCCCGCTCGCGGAGCTAGCCATATAATAAGACCAGTTATTGGTGCGTTTTCAAATTTCTCCGGCGTAGTGTGGACGGGTCCTTACATAAAACATAACCATTCAGTAAAGCATGTCAGGCCCTCAGACCAGCGTTAAATAGCAGAATGTCCAAAAAATCACGGTAGATATCACATTGCTTTCAACTATTCACATTATTAAGAAAATAAGAAATGTTTTAACCGTTTATTCCAAGAGCTTATCACTCGTGACTGTTGTTATCCTTATTATTTCTATTGGCGTTTCTCTTCTTGAATTGTGGAACGAAAAAATGCATAGAATCCATAGATTAAGAACTAGAATAGTGGTAGAGATTGTGTTTTGTATTTTTTACATTTCTGGTTAGGTGGGTGTGGCCCGCTTCCCAAAACCCTGACCCTATTTCAGACCAAAATCTGCGATTTTCCCTGCCCTATTCTAAGACCTGACCAAAAATGTGATACCCCATTTAAACCAATTCAGACCTGCATTGTAATCAGGTCTCTAGACCAATTTTAAAGGCAATGTTTAAATGCTTTTATTAGGTGGGATACAGAAATATGATGAAAAGCTTTGTGATTAAAGGTTTATACTGCCATGGTCAAACAGACACCTGCATGATCTTTATCCGCGAGGACTGAAGCCCTTTGCACTTGTTGGAAGTTACCACCAACTCACAGTATACTGGACATAAAAATTTAGAAACGAGCGCATTTGGAAGAAACCTTGACTATTTTTATTGTCATATTAGGATTCTAAAGGTATTAAGGAAGCTAAAGGCTGAGGCAAAATATGAACATGGACCAAAGATAGTGTGTAGTGTTGTTCGCCCTTTACAAAGAAGGATCGTGGGTAACCATTGGCAACCACACTGTCAAAGATATTGGGCTTCGTCTACTGGTGTTGCTCTATGTAACCATGAACTTTTGATAACAATACGATTGCAAGGATGATTTTAGAGAATAGAGCAACCATCCTCTTCTTGAACCACTAAAAATCACTTGGTTTTCCCTGCATGCTCGTTAACATTTACAAAGTAACAATATTTTAAGCATTTACGCGGCATTTGTGACGCAGATGATATATGCAAGGTCTTTAGGGCAGCGTTTAAAGCAGCGCTTAGACCATGCTAGAAAAATTGTGAATGGCGACGGTATACTAGAAGTCGGGAGAAAATTATATTTGTAGAGGCTAGACCGTGAAACAACTTTTTAATCGCTAATCTAGAACTTAATGGTCTGTCTGAAACATTCTGCTGCAGTCCATTCCATTTGTATTTCCATAAACAATAAAGTAATGGATTTTTCATAAGCTAATCATCCGAGCTGAAACAATTGTACTGGGTGTATAATTGACAAAAAAAACAACTTGCTGCAAAGTTCACGAGACCTGTTCTATTGTTTGTTGCGTGAAATACAAGCGTTGTTTTCCGTAGCAGCCACTCTAGGTTAGGAAATATTTATTCGAGTTTGAGCCTTTTTTAATGAACAATCTATAACTATCTATCAATTTATTAGCTGGAAACATCAACGCACGTACCTCGCGTCTTGTGTCGGAAGATGATGGAATGGTGTCCTTCTTAGGCTGCTGTTTGCCGCCATACAATCTCGTTTTATCTTTTCCCTAACACAGACATCGAGGTCGTAATATCAGACTGACTCTACTAATCCATTCAAATTTAAATGTGAGTTTCACTGTAACCCGCCACAGGAGATGTAATTTAAAAATTTCCCACCATTATTTGTTTATATCTTGACACGAAAGCTTTTGCGGGGGCACTGTTACAAAGCAAAAACATGTTTGTAGCGCTCGGAAATGTCTGATAAATAAATAATAATGGTGTTTTAACACCATCCAATTAACAACTTAGAACAAATCTTGCGGGTTTATGCGTAGTTTAATTTCATTTCCATGGTTCATAAACAAGATACAATAGGCGCAACGGCTGGCACAACGTAGGATCATTGGCACCACACAGCATGTGCTTCAATAGCTAAGTAATGTGAATGCCTGTTTTCCTTTTTTACATAACTATAGGAGAGATCAGCATGGACACCTCCTAAGTGCAGCTTACAAAAGTTTTTAAAAGGGTGAAATGAGCCGTGATAGATTTGAATGGTATCTTAGTCTGCATAGAAAGCATTGACAATGATTGATAATGCAGTTAATTGGTCTATGGAAAAATTAAAGCATCGCTTGCTCCCAGCCCAGGGAGGTGGGATACTCCCAGAAAAGTCTTGTGGGGGTGTGCGGCCAACTACCCAAAACCCTTACCCTATTTATGACCAAAATCTGCGATTTTTGCTACCCTATTTAAGACCTGAGCAAAACTTCGACACCCTATTTATGACCGTTGTGGCTGGCACAGGTTACCCTAAACATAAGTTGTTGACGGTCCTATTGACATCGATGAAAAAGTAGCTTCTTGTAAGACACATACCCAATTCAAGACTAGAGTGTTGAAGTCATACCCTATTTAAGACTAAAATGGCCAAAATCGATACCCTATTTCTGACCAAAACGGCTGAAAAATCCTACTCTTTGGGGCAGCACATACCTATATAGCCCATATAAGGGAGTACTCCGCCGGGGCTCCCACTGAGCTAAATAATGCAGTATATGAATAATTATGATAATGTAATTTATGAATGATTCGATTATGAAGGAGTATGTAAAAAGTTACGTTCATTCGATCAACTTAAACGAGCTACGTCACGGTTTGAGCATCTTGAAAATATTAGCCTAAATTTTTCAAGTTCGTCGTTTGTAATCCGTGTTAATCTTCTCCATCCTTAACCATCCTTGTTACTTTATGGTTCATTATTATCTCTTTGATGTTTTCATGGCGAGATTCATGAGACTCTGAAATACCCAGCAGGACATGGGTTCTAACTTCCGATGACGTCATGGTGCTTGTGCTAATCAGATGTGCCGTAATCTGTCATTACTGAACAATTTGTGGGTGTTTGGTGTATGAGCCGTTTAGCATTTGACAGAATAATTTAATGCGCTAAACCAGATCACCAACCATATATGGCCTGGTTAACAAAGTTTAAACAGTTAATATTATAACCAGAGGCCTCGCTGTATATGCATCGCGCGAAATTCGATCAAAGAACGAGTGGTGCGAAGTAGAGCATGGCGGCAAATCCATGTTCTGTTCGCTTCTATCGATCAAATTCGAGGACAGTCACTCTATCCGAGCCAAATTTGATTCGCCATGTCGAGCAAATGGTTTCATAAACCACGAGAGTTCATCGAAAGTGATTCCTTTCCGTTTTTCAAACCTGACATCGCACAAGTTTATATTTTAGGTTTGTCTGATACAAATCATAGTGGCGGGTTCGTGGATCCATCGTGGTCATCGTGGTTTCAATCTTCGAGAAAGAAAGACACAGTTATTGCTGCTACCCTCTTCGGAATAGTTTGAAGAGCGTTAAACAACAGGTTCAACAGGTGGAAAAAAAGAATGATATCAAACATCGGCCATGTGAGTGTAATATGGTCGCCATCTTAAAACAAAGTGCAGGTTTTCTGGTGTAATAACTTTATATGTAGTAGCTTGGTAGTTTAATTTCTGCGTGAATATTGAGATATAAAACTGTCACTTAAAACTTCATCTCTCAATGTTAAAGCGCTATCTCTTCAACACGTGAAAAAAAGAATGATGTAAAACTTCGGCCATGTGAGTCTAATATGGCTGCGATCTTGAAACAAAGTGCAACTTTTCTGGTCTAGTAACTTTTTATGTAGTAGCTTGGTAGTTTTTGCGTGAATATTAAGATATAAAACTGTCACCTAAAGCTTCATCTCTCCATAGTAGAACACCATCTCTTCAACGGGTAAAAAAAAAAGAATGATGTCAAACATCGGCCATTTTAGGCTTATATAGTTGCCATCTTAAAATGAAGTGCAACTTTTCTGGTTTACTAACTTTTTATGCAGTAGCTTAGTAGTTTTTGCGTGAATATTAAGATATAAAACTGTCACCTAAAATTTCATCCCTCGATGGTAGAATCCCATCTCTTCAACGGCTAAAAAAAAGAATGATGTCAAACCTCGGCCATGTTAGTCTAATATGACCACCATCTTGAAACGAAGTCCATCATCTCAGGTCTAATGCCGTTTTTCTCAGCAACCTGCCAGTCTTTGCCTCTATGTCAAGACAGTCTACTCTCACCTGGAACATCACCTCTCGATATTAGAATCCCATCTCTTTCGTGGGTTAGAAAGAGGATGATGTCAAACAACAGCCATGTTAGTCTAATATGGTCGCCATCTTGAAACAAAGTCCAACTTTTCTGGTCTACTTTCTATGTAGTAGCTTGGTAGATTGTAGTATTATGTAGTAGCTTGTAGTAGCTTGTAGTAGCTTGTAGTAGCTTGTAGTAGCTTGGTAGATCTTGATGGTAAAATCCCATCTCTTCAACGGGTGAAAAAAGAATGATGTGACACATTGGCCATTTAAGGATAATGTGGCTGCCATCTTAAAACGAAGTGCAACTTTTCTGGTCTGACAACTTTTTATGTAATAGCTTGGTAGTTTTTGCGTGAATATTAAGATGTTAAACTGTCATGTAAAACTTCATCTCTCGATGGTAGAATCCCATCTCTTAAACGGGTGAAAAAAAGAATGATGTCAAACATCGGCCATGTTAGTCTAATATGGCCACCATTTTGAAACGAAGTGCAACTTTTCTGGTCTAATAACTTTTTATGTAGTAGCTTGGTAAATTTTGTGTGGATTTCAAGACGTAAAACTGTCATGTAAAACTCCATCTCTTAATGGTAGAATTCCATCTCTTCATCGGGTGAAAAAAAGAATGATGTCAAACCTTGGCCATGTTAGTATAATATTGCCGCCATCTTGAAACGAAGTGCAACTTTTCTGGTCTAATAACTTTTTATTTAGTAGTTTGGTAGTTTTTGCGTGAATGTTAAAATATAAAACTGTCATCTGAAAGTTCATCTGCCGATGGTAAAATCCCATCTCATCAACGGGTGAAAAAAAGAATGATAGGAATCATCGGCCATGTTAGGCTAATATGGCTGCCATCTTGAAACGAAATGCAACTTTTCTGGTCTAAATACTTTTTATGTAGTAGCTTAGTAGTTTTAAGTGAATATTAAGATATAAAACTGTCACCTAAAACTTCATCTCTCAATGTTAGAACGCTATCTCTTCAGCGGGTGAAAAAAAAGGATGATGTCAAACAACGGCCATGCATGTGAGTCTAATATGGCTGCCATCTTGAAACGAAGTGCAACTTTTCTGGTGTAACAACTTTTTACGTAGTAGCTTGGTAGTTTTTGTGTGAATATCAAGGTTTAAAAGTGTCATCTAAAACTTCATCTTTCGAGTATAGAATTTCTTCTCTTTAGCGGGTGAAAAAGACGATGATGTCAAACATCGGCCATGTTAGTCTAATACGGGCGTCATTTTAAAACGAAATTCAACAGCTCAGGTCTAATAACGTTTTTCTTAGTACATTGCTAATTTTTTTTATTTACATCAAGACAGTGTACTGTCGCCTGGAACTTCATCTGTCGATATTAGAATCCCATATTTTTGACGGGTTGAAAAGAGGATAAAGTCCAAACAGCAGCATTGTTAGTCTACTTAGTAAATGACTATGTTCAGGTTCCATTCAATTTCAAGGTTATTTTAATGTGACCAAAATAACTCAAAATACCGTGACTGAGCTCCTTTAAGGTTTTGTTCTTTGAATACGTATAAAAATTTCTCAAATGGAAACGGGACTCACGTTTAAATATTAATAGGAACTTCAGATTTGAGAACGAGTACGAGATCGAGTACGAGAACGACTTTTTAATTCTAGTTTGCAGGCTTCACATTATCACGTCACATACCCATCTCATCCCATGAGCTACCCTCTCTGCCTAAAACCAGCATGAAGAACTAGGGCTCTGGAAACGTCACTGGTTTGAAATTCGAAAATCGAACTCGTACTTAATTTCGTGCTCGTATTCCAATGTAAAGGTCTCTAATAGCACCCACATGATCTCCCAAATGTACAACAAAATCTACTTGGAGCAAATGCACAGTTTCAAAACGTGCTCAAAGAGCTCTAGACTTCCAAAATTGTTTAGAGAAAAGTGTAAAAGCGCGTTTTCCTGTTTGGATTGATAACCGTCTGTTTGGAGTGATAACCGTCCTGTCAATCAACAGCATGACATGTGTCCTGGTTTAGCTTGCCTGATAGTTTTTCTTCTTGCCCAGATCTCTATGGCGCGAGAATTCTTTCCCGTACCAGAACGGAATTTGGGTTCGAGACAATAATGCCATTTTCAAAAGACGTCAGCAAATGTATTAAGTGAACCTTTTAAAAAACCTTCCTATTAATGAAAGCGTTTTTTACTGTTCCAACTTTTCCTTTCCCTCGCCTCCAGACTTCGCGCGGCCATCACCATCAAGGTGGCCAGATTTTTCTCCGCCTATCACTCACTGAGGAGACATAGAGGACAAAGGCAAGTAGTCTTAATTTGTTAGCAGAGACTAAAAGATAGAAGTGACAGGCCTGAAATTTTAGGTGTCCTAAAGCCAAAACTCAGAAACAGTTTTCTTTATCCTTGGTCTTTCATGGAACAGCCAACAATAAGAAATCTGATCAAATTCACGAATGTTCAAAAGAAAACAATAAGCGCTAGCCGCTTATCTCAATCATACCAACATGGAAGTTAGTGTGTAGCGTTACCAATTCTTATCAGTAGTTTAAAGGAAGTTTTTATGGTCTGGACTTCATTTCGGACGAGGAAAAGTACGCGCATGCCGTCCATAACCATCATAAGACATTCTCCTGTGGATGTCATCATAATCATCACTGCGCTCATCATTAAAACCCAGGCTGGGTACCTTGTGCTGGCTTGGATCCCTGTACTGGCTAGGATCTTTCTCCTGTATGTGCCTGTAATCGTCTTCATTTAGAATTCGTTCCCGTGGCCACATATCCATCTGTACCTGGTGCCGAGGCTCTCTCATTCTCATTTTCTTAAGAGTGAAGTTAAGCTTAGCTGCCTTATCGGACAACACTGTACATGACTTGGTCTCTGGTTCAAATCCTTTGGCGGAAACCGTGATCTCATAGGACCCTGGGACTAGCAAACGCCAAAAGTCTCCGTCACGTGATGAAAATACGTCATGACGACGGTTTGCAACAGTAATCCTCGCTCCATCGATTGGTTGGTCATCTTCATCCTTTATAAACCCGTTCACACCTGAGTGAACCTAACAGAAGGAGAATAAGCATTATTATGTCATCTGATTTGTACGTAACTTGACATGAAAATAGTACTAAATAACGTCGATTAAGCATATTACCGAAAAACGTTATTCGTAGACAAGCTAGAAAAAGGTCGACAAATGTCGGCGTTTCGAAACAATCAGAAGCCCAGATATCGCTTAAAAACCCTGCCCTGAAGTTTCCCCTTTAAAACTCGCGCCAATCCCCTGCCTTTTGCTTATCACTGCGGACTGATGTAAACATAGGAGCGACATTTGGCGTTTGAAGGAAGCCTCTCTCAAATTCCTTTTTTTGGGTTTCTCATGTAATGCTTACTTCAAACTCACGATCCTGTAGGAGACATTTTGAAATGAAATTTCTATCTTAAGACTTACACGCTTACCACTCCAGTATTGTTCAATTTACCTGCTCAATATACTTCAGAAGTGCCTCTTTGTTTTCCCTCCAATACTCCGGTAACTCAGTCGCATTAGGAAACTTCTGGCAGCCAAGTTCAAGCGTTATATCAAAGCAGTTCGAGTGCACGTAGTTGTAATCTTGCATTCCCCCTGACACACTGAACCACTTGGCGCCATTTGTTATCCCGTCTATGAAATGCTCTCGGGGGATGTCTTTACATTTCCAAGGGGCATTTGCGAGGTGCATTGTGGGATGGGCTTCTGAATAAGAGCGCGCCAATTGTCTGAACACGTCATCATCTGGGGTAGCACTGTACACGCTCTGTCCCGAGGGATTATCATCATACGGGTAATTTGCCACAAGTGCTCCACTGTGCAAACTCGCTGACAGCACAAAGGGAATAGAATTGATCCATTTCATGACCGCCCGTGTTTCCGGTTGAGGTGCTCCGTTAGTGCTTGGGAAAAATTGATCCGGGAAATTACGATTCAAGTCGATCCCGTTCGCGTTAGATCGACTTGACTTCCACTCTTCGTCTGAAAAGGTGGCGGCCATTTCATATCCATCCGGATTCATGCTCGGCATAATATGTATCCTTGTCGTGTCTATGATGTTGGTAACCCTGGGATTAACACCGTAGTTTTTGCACAGGTATTTTATCAGGTGAAGTAACATCTCCCGCCCTATCGCTTCATCCCCGTGCATATTAGCAACGTACTTAAACTCCGGTTCCCCCGGTTCGTGTTTCCCTGGGTTATTGGAAATTTCCATGACCCACAGTTTGCGGTTTTGTACCGAGATACCGATGTCATACAAGTGCGCTATTTTGCTGTACTTTCTTGAATAATCCTTCAGTAGCCATGTCATTTCTTCATAGTTATGATGTCTAAAGCTGATATTCTTCTCATGTATTTCTTCTTTGGCATCGTTTTCTAATTCCTTTGGAGTTGTTCCGGTGACTACTTGGTTATGCTCCTTGAAATCGTCTCTTGCAACGTCCAGTTTGTGCTTGGTGTCTTTGACGCCTGCAAAAGGTTCTTTCTTGTTGTTTGAAGACTTAGTCCGGGCGGATTCGGTTTCATGTTTATTTTCTTTGGCAAAAGATATCTTTTTAGCTGCTTTGTCGGGTGGCTTTCCCAAGGCAGAAAGTACCAAGCCTTGTAGAACCAAACAAAGTGCTAAGAGCTTCAGATGAGGCATAATTGATGTGCTCCTTGTTCTGATATCCAGCTGAAATGTCTGACAGTTTCGGTGAACACTGATCAATTTAGAGTTTGTTCATCGCTTCTGACATCACTAAAGGAGTGGTTAATAGCCTACCACACCTTTAAACATTTTAGTTATGATCTTTACCTTGTGCATCGCATCACGTCTACGAACGGCTAACCATTAGTGAACGATCGTGGTCGTGTTCAGCAATAACAGTTGAACAATAATTTACTTATTTACTTGAATTAACACTATATCGATATCAAACCAAAGTATAGCTTTGCAGCTTAGTAAAAATATATTTTATTGCTTTTCAAGGAGTGTTTTTGCATAGCAACGCGGAATAGAAGTCCATGATCTGTTAACTAAGAGATTTTAAGTGCATTGGTTAGCCGGCCACCTGTTTTGAAGCGACAGGTAACAAAGTTACCTGCTCAGCACCTTTGAACGCCAAATTTTGTTGAATAATCGTTTTTAAACGTGGATTTGTAATTCTTAATTTTTCCTAAACGTTTCTTAAAAAGCGTTTCCAATGATTTGCGCATACAATAAGTAATTTATTTATTTATTTATTTAGAGTAAACATTTGCGACTAAACCTGTTTGTTTGATTTGTTTCATGAAGTACTGTTCAAATAAGCGAAAATTATGTTAAGACCAGTTAAAGTTTATTCTTCAGTGGAAATACAATGCGGCAGAAATGTTTGAAAATACAAGTGCAGTCTCAGTTTCTGTTGCACCAGATCGAGCAGATGGTTGTTGTAAAATGCGTAAACACTATAAATTACTTCTACGGCAAAGAATTGTTTATCGCTTAACCACACCCAGTGAAAGGATAACAGCTAAATAAAGCGACTGAAAAAAGTTTTATCGATGACTGTCAGTTTACGGACAAATGATCTAATTGTCATATTAGACGGATGAAATTTCACAGTGAAAGTTGTTTGACCGCTCGAGATTTTAGGCGAAATATTTTATTGTCTGGCCGGTCGAAGAAACGTTAAAATGTATCGCTTCTCGACTTTTGTAGTGTGTGGCATAATTTTAACTTCGCACTTTGCAAACAGCAATCCTTTAATTAAGAAAGTTTTAGACATGATTCACGGCGGGGACCAAAAAGAATCAACTCACGACGAAAAGAGGAAGAGCGTCGACATTTTGAATGTCAATGAATTCAAGCACCATGATTATGAAGAGATGACATGGTTTTTGAAGTACTTTGCGCAGAAGTACTCAGACATTGCTAGGCTGTACTCCATCGGTTATAGCGTACAAAACCGGAAGTTATGGGTTATGGAGATCTCCGACAATCCTGGTAAACACGAAGCTGGCGAACCGGAAATCAAGTACATCGGGAATATTCACGGCAACGAAGCATTGGGTCGAGAACTGTTACTACAACTAATAAAGTACCTTTGCGAAAGTTACGAAAATGACCCTAAGATTAAGACCCTTGTCGACACAACTGGCATTCATATACTGCCAAGCATGAATCCAGATGGGTACGAGATGGCAGCGGTTCGCGGCAAGGGAAACAAGCTAGTCGGAAAGAGAAATGCTTACAGGGTGGACTTAAATCGCAACTTTCCGGATCAGTTTTTTCCCAGCACTACAGGCCCACCCCAGTCTGAAGTCAGGGCCGTAATGGAGTGGATCAAAACGTACCCATTTGTGTTATCTGCGAGCCTGCATAGCGGAGCCTTGGTCGCGCTTTACCCTTATGATGATTCTCCCTCAGGACAGAGCCTGTACAGCGCTACACCTGATGATGACGTTTTTAGACATTTGGCCAAGACATACTCACAGGTGCCTTGTTGTTACTTGTTATTTTGGTGATTACAACAAGAAATGGAAAATTGAAGGACTTTTAGGGCTAAAGTTTTAGGGACTCGCACAAGACAATTAGAGTTGGGCCCCAAAACAGTCCCTTTATAATTACTCCTATAGGATATTGACTAGTTCAGACGATTCTGTTACGTATAAGGCTCTTGAAATTGAATGTCACTATTAGTTTGAAACGGTAAAACAACTTCTCACATGTAGTAAGAAAGAAAAATTGAAACTTGAACACGATTTCGAACAATTTGAATGTAAACCATTTTTAATACTTAAAAACAACTTCATACATTGGTTACCACTGGAAAATAACGTTCACTGTTATATTAATGTTCAGAATCGGAAACTTGATTTGTCGAAAATATTTTACTCTTGAAGTGGAAAAAGTTAGTGAGAAGTTTCTGGTATCCGCGCGCCATTTTGGATTTTATGACGTCACACCAGTGCCCCTTTTCTTTAGAAAGAAAAATATTTGAAGAACTTAGCTTTCTTAAAATCTGGAGATAGCCGAAGGCTTAAAGGAGCTTAGTCACAATATTTTGAGTCATTTTGACCATGTACAAAATTCCTTTAAATTAAAGGAAACCTGAAAACAAAAGTTAAAAAAGATAGAAAAACACCAAAGAGATAATAATAAAACACAAAGGAACAAGGATGGTTAGGATGGAGAAGATTAACACGGATTACAAAAGACAAACTTGAAAAATTTAAGCGCAAACCGTGGCGTAGCTCCTTTAAATCAAAATTTCAAATTGGAATATATCATTTGCATAAAAATACAGCATGTTACACTAACGAACATTCATAAAGCTACCCCTTGGAAAAAATTAAATTTTCACGACTTCCTTCTTTCAAAAGTCTGATTCCTTATTTGTGTCCTAGGAACATCCCGTGATGCATTTGGCCAACCCCAAGTGGAATTGCACAGACCAAAAGGAAGAGCACTTTATAGACGGCATCACGAACGGTGCCAGCTGGTCCAGCCTGTCAGGAGGCATGCAGGATTATAACTATGTTCACTCCAACTGCTTTGAAATCACGCTAGAGCTAGGCTGCGATAGATTTCCTAAAAGCAGCGACTTAGAGAAGTACTGGCTCGATAACAAAAAGGCTCTTGTCGAGTTTGCACAGCAGGTAGGAAGTTGCTCTTAATTCTATTTTTTATATCTCGAAAGCATATATAAGCCAGCACTCGCAATTAAAGGGATTGTATAGACAATGCTCGCAAGAATCAAAGAAACTCGATACTTAGAAACATGAGAAGCGAAAAGTCGACCAGGAAACTAGTAATATATCACGTGGCTATCTCCAAGAGCAGGCAAGATATGACTGGTCGACCGATCGGACAAGATGGAGCCCTCGTATAGCGCGAACATTGGAGGTGCGGGAGAGGGTTCATGCATGATGGCCAATTCCCTTTCTGAGATGCACCTGCAGGGAATCATGGTAGTTGTATTCATCATCTAGGACTGGATATTTATTTTGATGGACACAATTACCATGGTTCTCTGCAGGCACTTCTCAGAGAGGGAAATGGCTATTACCGAAAAGTGTTAATAGACCGTCAAAATATCAATTTGTTGCTTTTAATTACAATATATCAAGCATCTCGGTTATGATCAGTTCGTTCTTATGTCTGTGATCTATTTACTCAGCGCCCATGAATTTCTTTTGTGAAAAATGTTGAATTCAGGTCATTTAAATTGTGTCTTAGGTACATTATGGCGTGAGTGGATTTGTTAAAAACAACCAAGGTGAGCCTCTCTCTGACGCGACCATTAGCGTCGCAGATCGTCGTCATGACGTCACTACGTCAAAGGAAGGAGACTACTGGCGCCTGCTAGTTCCAGGCTCCTATGAAATCACGGCCAGAGCAAAAGGCTACCAACCTAAGACACATTTGGTGGAGTTACGCGCTTCTGAAGGAAAAGTCCTAAATTTTACGCTAAAACCAACTCAGGAAGACGGAACAAAGCTGTCACTTGTGGCAGGAGAAGATGAATTGTTAGACCGTGTCATGGTAAGCTCAAAAAATGCCTGTATATTCCTCATTGATTCTTAACCCTTCCTTTCTTATAACATAATTAAGACCCCATTCAAACCGACTAAACTAGTTTAACTAAATCAAGTTTAGGTTTTTTCATTTGTTGATTACGCTTTGCAGTCATTTTTAGAAGACAAATTTCATACCACCTTGCTAACATATTTTAATCAAACATGTTTTTACCTGGTTAAGTTGTGTGGTGTGTGAACGGTACGAGCAACTAAGTTTTAACCTAGTTTAGTTAAACCACTTTTACTAGTAAACATATTTAAGAGAGACAGGGTTAATAATTAAAATTATTTTAAGGCCGGTCGAATATTTTATCAGATTGGGGGGGG